ATAGGTGGGTGAGAAGAAATAAAATGAATAATATTTTAGTTGATAATATTGAAGGATTAACTGAAACAAATAGGAATTCCATCTCTATCATTGAAGGGAAATCGATGATCAGAAGAAGAAGAAGAAGAAGAAGAAGATGAAGGGTATTCAAAATTTCATTGGATTTTTCGAAATATGGGTTTGCTAAAAGTTGTAAACACTTCTCCAAATTGATTTTGATTTAGTGAAAATACCTTTACCTGTGGTCTTTTTGCTAAAAGTTGTAAACACTTCTCCAAATTGTATAGTCACAAGACTAACACCCCCTTGTTCCCATTTTGCATGAGAAGAACATATACATGAAGTAATTTTGGACAAGGATGTATTAGTATATTAGAAACAACAGCATTGGCGTTGAGAAATAATACAAGAACGATTTAAGGAATATTCCCAACTTTAAATAATGATTAAATTTGTAATACATTAGTTTATCACAAGGCCAATTTTTTGCTTGTTTGCATCTTGGCACACTCCCTTTAGTGGAATTTGGTGTTTGAGTTTCTAGTTAATCTAATAGCAATTAGCTTGACATTAAAGATACTGTCAAGATTGAACCTTGATTATATCTGAGGGCAAGAATTTTCTATGTAAACTGTGAGACATTGGATCGAACTCTAGTGTGGTCGAAGTCTGTTTGCAAGTAATGCGTGTTGTAGTCGAAGTTTGTTCTAACATGCATGAGTAAATATTGCTAAGGTTGTTAGCATGAGTAAATATTGCTAAGGTTGTTAGCATGAGTAAATATTGCTAAGGTTGTTAGCATGAGTAAATATTGCTAAGGTTGTTAGCATGAGTAAATATTGCTAGGGTTGTTAGCATGTGCTATTTTATTATAAATAGGATGCTAGTTTCTCAATCTTAGAATAAGGAAAAATAGGAAGATAAAATCCTAATTTCAAGAGAGAGAGGTTATTTTGTTATTCTTGTATACTTGTAATCTTGTTCTAAGAGAAAGGAAAGAATAGCAGTTTAATAACCAATCCTTGTTGTTCCTTGTTGTTTTACCTTGTTTTCTTTGTCAACCCTAACCCTTGTGAGTTTCTTGATCATTAAGAAACCGTTTATACTTTGTTTAAAGGTATCCGATTCACAACAAATTGGTGCGGTGAGCGTGGAGAAGATGTCTTCAACAAAGTATGAGATTGAAAAGTTCACCGGAGTGAACGACTTCGGTCTGTGGCGCTTGAAGATGAAAGCCCTATTGGTTCAGCAGGGTTGTTTGGAAGCGTTGAAGGGTGAGGCAGCCATGGACGCTGCGTTAACGGCAAAAGAAAAGACGGGCATGATCGAGAAAGCCCACAGCGCAATATTATTGAGCCTTGGTGATAAGGTTCTTCGACAGGTATCAAAGGAGACTACAGCATCGGGATTATGGGTGAAACTTGAAAGTTTGTACATGACCAAATCTCTGGTGAATCGACTATACCTGAAGCAAGCTTTATATTCATTCAAGATGAGTGAAGACAAAGTGTTGGCTGAGCAGTTGGATATGTTCAACAAGCTGATTCTTGATCTTGAAAATATTGATGTGAAGATCGATGATGAAGATCAAGCACTATTGTTGCTGTGTGCTTTGCCCAGAACACATGCTCACTTCAAAGAAACTCTCTTGTATGGAAGGGAGTCCCTGACCTTTGAAGAAGTTCAATCAGCCTTGTATTCTAAGGACTTGAACGAACGAAAGGAGCATAAACCTTCGACGGTGGGCGAAGGTTTGGCCGTTAAGGGAAAATTCTTGCGAAAGGATGGTAAGTTCGACAAGAAGAAAGGTAAAAATCAACAGAAATCTTATAGTGGCGAAACATCTAGTATTCGATGTTATCACTGTAAGAAGGAGGGTCACATAAGAAAGGTGTGCCCTGAACGCCTGAAAGATCATGGAGGTAATGGCAATGCAGCCATTGTTCAAGATGACTTCGACTTCATCTGATGTTCTTGTGGTTTCAAGTGGCGACTCGAGGAAAGAGTGGATTATGGATTCAGGTTGCACTTGGCACATGACTCCAAACAGAGAATTGTTCGAGGAGCTATGTGATCAAGATGGTGGATCTGTGCTGTTAGGAAACAACAAATCTTGCAAAATTGCAGGTATTGGATCTGTGAGATTCAAGCTCCATGATGAGTCAATAAGGTTATTGACTGAAGTCAGGTACGTACCTGACTTGAAGAGAAATTTGATTTCTCTTGGTGAATTCGACAGAAAAGGATATGTTTTTCAAGGAGAGAAAAGTATCCTAAGAGTCATGAAGGGGTCGAAGGAAGTCTTGAGAGGCGTGAAGAAACAAGGCTTGTATACCCTTGAGGCTGAGGTTGTAAGTGGTTCGACAAATGTTGCATCTACGAAATCTATGTCGAAGACAGAATTATGGCACATGAGATTGGGCCATGTCAGCGAAAGAGGCCTGGTCGAATTGGGGAAGCAGAACCTGCTAGGAGGTGACAAAGTCGAAAAGTTGGAATTTTGTGAATCTTGTGTATCTGGTAAATCCTGTAGGGCGAAGTTTAACAAAGGCAATCAAAGAACACATGGATCCCTGGATTACATTCATGCTGATCTTTGGGGGCCTGCAAGGAATCCTTCACACTCAGGTGCAAGGTATTTTCTATCCATCGTTGATGACTATTCCAGAAAACTATGGGTATTCATTCAGAAGACGAAGGATGAAACTTTTGAGAATTTCAAAAGTTGGAAGATTCTAGTCGAAACTCAGACTGGCAGAAAAGTTAAGAGGATGAGAACCGACAATGGCCTTGAATTCTGCAACGAAGCTTTCGACAGTTACTGTGTTGGGTCTGGGATTGCAAGGCATAAGACTGTAGCAGGTACTCCTCAACAAAATGGCTTAGCTGAGAGATTCAATCGAACAATCCTTGAAAGGGTTAGATGCATGTTGGTTAGTGTTGGATTGAAGAAGGTGTTTTGGGCGGAAGCTGTTTCGACAGCAACTTACCTGATAAATAGATGTCCCTCGACTGCCTTGGGAATGAAGACACCTGAAGAAGTTTGGTCGGGACATCCACCTAGTCTCGACAGACTGAGAGTATTTGGCTGTGTGGCCTATGCTCACATTAGGCAAGACAAGGTCGAACCTAGAGCTCTGAAGTGCATGTTCATGGGATACCCTGAAGGAGTCAAAGCTTATAGGCTATGGTGCCTAGAGCCAGGTCACAGGAGGTGTATCACCAGTCGAGATGTAGTTTTCAACGAAGCAGAGATGGCTTTCAAGAAAACTGATGATGCTGACGAAGAGCTGGAACAGGGAGAGATTCCTGTTGAGGTGGAGCATGTTGATGCTGAATTGCTTACCCCAGATGAAGTCGAAGAAGACACAGAAGATGTTGTCGAAGATGAGGAGACTGATAATGACTACCTGCTAGCAAGAGACAGGTCGAGGAGAGTCATCAAGCCACCTCAGAGACTTGGGTATGCAGATCTTATAGCTTATGCCTTAATCTCTGCAAGTGAGGTTCTAGACGAAGAACCTAGAGACTATAAGGAAGTTATGAGGAATCAAAAGAAGACAAATTGGTCTTTGATGTATGCTATGGTCTGTACTAGACCCGACATAGCATATGCAGTAAGTCTTGTAAGCAGGTACATGGCGAATCCTGGAAAGGCTCACTGGCAAGCATTGAAGTGGATTTTAAGGTACATAAATGGGTCTCTAAATAGAGTCCTAATTTATGGTGGAGCCTTAGGTGAAGATAGTAAAGCAGCAATCGATGGATATGTCGACTCTGATTATGCAGGTTGTATGGATTCCAGAAAATCTATCTCTGGATATGTGTTCACTATGTTTGGGACAGCAATCAGTTGGAAAGCAACACTTCAGAAGGTTGTTGCCCTATCAACCACTGAAGCGGAGTATATTGCCCTAACTGAAGATGTGAAGGAAGCATTGTGGCTTGAAGGTTTTGCAAAGGAGCTAAAACTTCAAGGTCGAGTTATCACTGTTAAATGTGATAGTCAAAGTGCAATACACCTGTCGAAGAATTCAGCCTATCATGAGCGAACCAAGCACATTGATGTGAGGCTGCATTTCATCAGAGGGGTAATCGAGCGTGGAGAAGTCCAAGTGCTGAAAGTTTCGACAGATCATAATGCTGCTGATATGATCACCAAGACATTGCCCAGTTGCAAGTTTTTCCACTGTATGCAGTTAATAAATCTGCATGAAGAAAGCTAGTTTCTTGATGTTATAGAGTTAGATCCAAGGTGGAGATTTGTGAGACATTGGATCGAACTCTAGTGTGGTCGAAGTCTGTTTGCAAGTAATGCGTGTTGTAGTCGAAGTTTGTTCTAACATGCATGAGTAAATATTGCTAAGGTTGTTAGCATGAGTAAATATTGCTAAGGTTGTTAGCATGAGTAAATATTGCTAAGGTTGTTAGCATGAGTAAATATTGCTAAGGTTGTTAGCATGAGTAAATATTGCTAGGGTTGTTAGCATGTGCTATTTTATTATAAATAGGATGCTAGTTTCTCAATCTTAGAATAAGGAAAAATAGGAAGATAAAATCCTAATTTCAAGAGAGAGAGGTTATTTTGTTATTCTTGTATACTTGTAATCTTGTTCTAAGAGAAAGGAAAGAATAGCAGTTTAATAACCAATCCTTGTTGTTCCTTGTTGTTTTACCTTGTTTTCTTTGTCAACCCTAACCCTTGTGAGTTTCTTGATCATTAAGAAACCGTTTATACTTTGTTTAAAGGTATCCGATTCACAACATAAACATTCTTTAATAAATACAACATTTAAGACATCAATTACTAAGCAGCTCTTGATCATGTCGAGCACTTTGTCTGTACTGCATTATGAGCCGTGAATGTGTGAGTTCTATAAAAGGAATTGACATGCCTACAATAAATCCCTTTCCCTGTTCGTTCTTTTGTTGATTCATTACTTATTATCATTTGCACTTGAATTACTTCTGAGCTATAGTTTCTATATTCTTACCATACAATGTTGAAGCTTCTTGCATGGGACAAGAAGTCGCATGAGAATGATCTCCCTGATCATGACTTTGCAAGTACAGAAAACGCCAACAAGCATGTTGTAGTTGTGATGGATGGAATGACAGAGTTCACCACAGAGCCTCTTCAATGGGCACTCGACAATGTTGTTACCGTAGAGTGCGCAGTCACACTTGTTGGGGTTATGCCTTGGCTCAACATTCCTTGTCAGTGTTATTAATTTAGCCATCTTATTAACCATAATTTGTTTCACAGAATATCTATTCTATGGTTATGAAGATCACATTTTGATAGCATTAACTTCGTTTCCCTGATACTAAATTCTTCGTGCATGAAAGTGAAACTACCTAGTTACTTTTTGCAGTGTCTTCTAAAACAAGATATGATTTTTGGATGGTGGAGATGGAAGATCCACCTCTAGTGAAAGAGAAAAATGAGTGCAGAAATGATAAGTATCTAAAGTGTCACGCAGTCATAGATCTTTGTAGAAAATACGGGGTATTAAATAAATTTATCTCTTTACAACCATATCACATTATGAATCAAACTTGATTATTATTTCAATTCAGGTTGTGCCACAGAAGAAAATCGTAATGGGTTATCCTCTGCGAATGCTGGTTGTGGAACACCTCGTCACACTTAGTCCAACATGGGTGTTGTTTGATAGGTACATTCATTGTTTGAATTTTCAATGATATGTAACTTTCATTTTTAACTGGCTATAGAAATAAATTAGTTCCAAAATGATACTATTGAACTTATGTTTGGTATTTATGTTGTGTAATTAATGTGAGGAAATGGTATTTAAAACAGATCTCATCAAAGGAACAGAGAATTTTATGCTAAAAAAATTCCATGCAACATTCTAATGATGAATGAAGATGGAAGGATTGATATGATCAAAAGCAAACAGATGATGATTCATAAAGACGACAGTTTTTCTAGAGAATTTTCAATGTCTTCATGTGCAACACCTCAGTTGACAGTTTCTGAGGAATCAAGGCAAGGTATTAAGTAGAGACATGCATGAAAAAAACAACAATCTATTTGGAACTTTTAATAAAGTCATATTTGTAATTTAGATGTTATCACTTCTTTTATAGGAATATATTACTAAGAAATGCAAGCCAAAAGTTCAGAATCGTTTCATAATATTACAATTAATAATTGTAGAATATTTTTGTTACATATAAATCATGAGATGATAATCTCGCTCTTGTAATATAAATATGAATTATGAATATGATTTTATTAATAATAATAACATATAGTACTTATTCTTGATGCATGAAAGAGGACACTTTGATATATTAGTTCTTAGGGAGCATAGCCACCATGTGCACCACCTTCTCCATATCCGGCTCCTCCACCATGACCACCTCCTCCGGCGCCACCATACGCTCCACCTCCTGCTCCTCCACCTGCTCCGCCTCCACTTCCATATCCACCTCCATGTACTCCTCCAGCACCATAGCCTGCTCCACCTCCGCCTCCACTTCCGCCACCTGCTCCATAACCAATGCCGTGCTCTCCACCAGCTCCATAGCCTCCGCCAGAACCACCTCCTTCACCACCACCGTAGCCAGCACCATGCTCTGCCCCACCACCATAGCCTCCTCCGGCTCCACCTCCTTCACCACCTCCGTAACCAGAAGCACCATGCTCTCCTCCACCACCATAACCTCCTCCGGCTCCACCTCCTTCACCGCCTCCGTAACCAGAAGCACCATGCTCTCCTCCACCACCATAACCTCCTCCGGCTCCACCTCCTTCACCACCTCCGTAACCAGAAGCACCATGCTCTCCCCCGCCGCTATAACCTCCTCCGGCTCCACCTCCTTCACCACCTCCGTATCCTGAAGCACCATGCTCTCCTCCGCCATTATAACCTCCTCCGGCTCCACCTCCTGCACCACCTCCATGTCCAGAAGCGCCATGCTCTCCTCCACCACCATAACCTCCTCCAGCTCCTCCTCCTTCACCACCTCCGTACCCAGAAGCACCACCATGCTCTCCCCCACCACCATAACCTCCTCCAGCTCCACCTCCTTGACCACCACCATAACCACCACCATGCTCTACTCCTGCACCACTGCCACCTCCTCCTCCAATGCCATATCCACCTCCTTGAGCTCCTCCTGCACCATACCCAGCTCCACCTCCACCGCCACTTCCACCACCTCCTCCATATCCTATACCATGTTCTCCACCACCACCAGCTCCACCTCCACCTCCTGCACCTCCACCATACCCACCACCATGCTCTCCTCCAATACCATAGCCTCCACCACCACCATTCCCACCCCCTCCACCATATCCAACTCCATGCTCGCCTCCATATCCAGCTCCTCCTCCACCACCACCTCCACTTCCTCCTCCTACACCTCCATATCCACCACTACCACCCGATCCTCCTCCACCGCCTCCACCAACAATGCCATGGCCTAAACCATATCCACCTCCAGCATCCAAATTAAGCAAAGCCCTTCTGGCAGAACACACACCTAAAGCCAACAATACTAACAAAACAGCAACCGGAACTCTTTGTATATAAGCCATATTGGGATTAGAACCTTAAAGTCAAATTCCCACAAAGCTGGCTTGGTATATATTCGAACAAGTTCGAAGGGTATTTATAGTGATCGCCAAGACGTGTTCAAAGCAAAGAGTGGTTGAAGCACATGGCTAGTGAAAATGGGATGTCCCTACAACATGGCCCATTATGTAAACACACAAAACGCAGTGATACTATATGATATTATACTCTCACTCTCACACTTGAGTAGAGATAGCCCAATAATCGTACATTGTGTGCTTTTGCTGTCTTCCACATCCAAGCATGCAAATGCAATATCTATACAAAGTCTAAAGCATTTTAACAACTTTACACCTAAAACCTAATTTACTACCTTCTATCTGTCGCTATAACCTACCGACTTCGTCTCACCACTTTGCTATGTCTTCCATTCTTTCTTACTAATATTCTATTTTTTCTTTGCCCACTAACTCCATATCTTTCCACCAATGGAACTTGTCTCTTTTGCGCATCGTTAAATATTTCGAAGACTAGTTAAATGAACTGTCATATAGTAAAAAAACTTATATGGACGTTTCTTTTGAAAACCATAGCAGGTGAGTCAAAAAAATAAACATTAGACATGATCATAAAAATATATGGAGAAGAAGATGATATTTTTTTTTGGTGTTTCTTGGGAGGATGTTTTGTTTTTTAATGTAGAAAATTTATGGTTGTCGAAACATTAAGAAAAAAAATCTAATGTTATGTTTTGACCTTTTTTTCTCATTTCGCAATGTTATATATTCACGGTGAAAATGAGAAGTTTCGGCTTATGATTGGTTTTTATTAGAAAAATTAAAAGCAAATTAAGAGGTGTAGATATGGTTTTATATCCTTCGGTCTAATTTGCACGAGTTTATTAAAATATATACTACTTCACTTTTAATTCATTTTTAATCGATAGTAATTTTATAAAATCAACTTATTCAAAATTAATTTTTGGCATATATTTTATTTGTAAGACAAATGAGAGTATTCCACTACGAATACATATGAAAAAGTTAAATCCCAATAGTCATATTAACGTGAAGGTCTCTATCAATAACAACAGCAACAATTATTTTGACTTTTAATATCTTCTTTTATTTATAATTTTATGAATTAAGTTGACAAAGAAAAAAAAAACAAATTTGAGCATTAAAATGACTAAGAACAGATATGTTCAAATACCACAATAATTTATTAAAAAACTCTTTAAAATGCATTTGTAATTTCTATACTTCATGAACTAAAAATATTATGCATTTCAATAACCACATTTAGGGATGTTTTTGAGTCAGTTTCATTTAGTTTTAGGAGAATTTGAATTTGTACTTTATTGTAATAAAGTTTAATCTGAACCAAACTGATAAAGAACAAGTTGGTTTGACTTTGATTGATGGATACATTAAAAATAGATGTATAAAAAAATTCTTAAAAAGTATTTAATCTACGTCAACACATTTTTTAAAATAATATAAAATTTTTAATTTTTTTTATTTTTTTATATTGGTTGTGAATATTACAAATGACATTTATTTTTTTATTCTTGAAGTTGAATATTTTATTCTAGTTTCTATTATAATGATGATATATATGATTAGTTTGGATAGACGAATTCACGTATAGAATTTTAGAAACTCGTTGTTCGAACTAATTAGCATCAAATTTTATTGATTTGATTTAGTTTTTATCTGAACTAAAGTAATGTTTGAACCAAACACCATGGTTTGGTTTGAATTTCGATTTGATTCGGATTTGCCCAAATTAATAAACACCTCTAACCACATTCACTATAAAAAAACAACATTTTGACAGATGAAAACCACTTCACAACTCTTAAAATTACTCTACAACTGAAACTTGCAAAGTAGAAAATTGTTCCAAAAAACAGTAACCGCAACTTTTTGTTGGATAAAAATCACCTCACAACGTTGTTAGGTGTGTAATTCACGCCGCAAATTTTATCATCTATCATATGCAAAATATTTTACCTCTCGTATATAAAAATATATTTAATAAAAAATAGTCTATTATATTTATATTATTATAAATATTTATTTTAATATTTTTAATAATATAAATATAATAATAAATAATTTCTAGCCAATAATATTTTAAATATAAAATTAAATAAAAATATTTAAATATAAAATTAATTAAAAATATTAAAATTCAAAAGTAATTAAAAATATTTAATTAAGTTCAAAATTAATTAAAATATCTTGTACAAATTAATTTAAAAATAGTTAATAAAACTAAAAAATTGATCTTCTTCACTCTCATCCTTTTCTTCCTTATCCTCACTTATCTCTCTTTGCCTACTAACCGATTCAAATCTGTTAACTCCGCCATATTTACCGAAATCTTGATTTTGACCCATATAAGCTTATGTTGGATTCCTTTGTTGCATTAGTTGTTATGCAACTCTCATTTGTTCTTGTGAAACTCTTAAGGTTTTCTCCAACTCAGATTATTGTTTTCTCATTTCTTCATCCTTTTGTGCAGCTTCATGTGTTGTTGCTTCATGTGCTGCCTTACTTAGAGCTTTCGGCCATTTTAGAGGATAATACCAAAGACATGACAACCCTTCCCCGTTTGCAATTCTCATAAATAAAGTTCTATCCATTTTTTTAATAGTTGGAGACAAGAGGTCTAGTACCATAAATTTTACCATTTTTATTCTTTTTGCCAATTGTATCCAACCATATATAAACATCAACAACTGAATCAATAGAATATGGACCCCTCAGAACAACTAACTCAGGATATTGAGATAGAAATTCCCCTTCCGTCTACTATATTACTCCTACACATACGTAAAAAAAATAAAATAACAGAGTTTAGACAATTTAATTAAATAAAACAATTAAATAATATATTTAAATATTAATATCATCTTACTTGAGCTTATCTAGCATGTTCGTTGTCATACTCCTTGGTAGAGGTGGAATTAGGCCATACCGACTAACAAGGGCCCACAACCTAGCCTGCATAGGCTCAGACCAGACCATATTTTTTTGTATAAAAAAAAGAAAGACCTATACTTTTTTATAAGCCTATTTACTTAAAAAGGTTAGGCCTCGGGCTATAAAAAGAGTCTTTTAAACCTATCAGACCGACCTATTTATATAAACAAAACTTGGTTATCTTGTAGAACTTATGAAATAAGATGAAAACACTTTATGAACAATGTCATAAGTTGTTTTAATAAGTTCTCTTAAACAAATAGTCTCACAAAACTTCTCCTAATAGGTAAGTGAAAATAAGGCAATGCAAATAAGTCCATGTCTCCCCCTATAAGTCATCTCATGAATCTCGCTCAATTATGGGGTTCTTCCATTCTCATCAATCTAATTAATACAATTAACTTTAATTAAAAATATATGATAAATAAGAATATAATTTTAAAAGTAGTGAGATGGAAATATAATTACCATTCGTTGAGCATGTTGGGCAATGCTAATGCTTCCAGCTTTATGATTGGGGGCTCCATTTTCAGATGCTCTACGCTGCTTTGCTTTTTCATAATTTTGTTAGACGATGGCGCAGATCTAGAAGGGGGGTTGAATAGATCACTTGTTAAAAATAGAGTCGGCGCTACCAATATTTGGTTTTAAAAAGTTTTTAGGCAGAAGCGGCCGAGGAACTATATTCGTCTAAAATGAACATTTACCGAAAAATCGGATATGCACAAAGCCTATGGAATCCGATAAAAACGAGATTAAGAATTATTAATTTGAACACACATCAACCATAATTCATTCACTATGAGGTTGGACTATTTCCAATGCTTGAAAAATATAACCAAATTTAAAAGATATCACAAGCATTTGTTGTCCACACAATTAGTCAAACACTTGGTGTGCAAGACACCACAAGTGAATTCCAATATGTGAGTGAAGTGCTTAAGTGTTCAATTACAATCAAGGATTGTAATAAACTTCAAAAATGGTTCAGGACTACTCACATCAGAATTTTGATTAACTCAATTGTTTGCACACAAACTAAGAAATTAAGCAATTGAAAAATAAAGAGAGAACAACAATTTGTTGAGGTAGTTCCCCCATCGTCCTCGCTCGGGGTACGTCTGCCCTCAATTCTAAAAATAGAATTAAGACTTGTGTATATATATATATATATATATATATATATATATATATATATATATATATATATATATATATATATATATATATATATATATATATATATATATATATATATATATATATATATATATATATATATATATATATATATATATATATATATATATATATATATATATATATATATATATATATATATATATATATATATATATATAACCTGTTGGTAAACTTTTACAAGAGAAGCAATAGAAATCAAACGATCAAACCCAATTGTTGATGTAGAGCCTATTCCTTCTCTTCCCTTGATTCAAGCTGAATCAAGTCCTTTGAACGCGATGAATAAACCTTCGATTACGACACATCCTTTGAACAACCCCACGGTCTTCAAATCTTTCCCGACTAATTTCAATCACCAACACTTCGAACCCGAATATTCCTCTCATAATCCTTCGGTTACCACTGCTAAATCGACAAAACAACCTGTTCTTCAATTACCTTCGCTCAGCTGAATCTGTGATGGACCGATTCCTGCAAAAACCCTCAAAATCCAAGATTCTTGGAGGACAAAACTCTAACGGTTTTATTCAAGAAAAACCCACTGATTTCTCAACCCAAACCCGATACCAATCCTATGTTTGGATGTTATCACCTTTAAATTGCATAATGCACAACAAAAATGATTATGTGTAATTGTTGAGAAAATGTAAGAAAGAGGATGAAGATGATGAGAACAAAATCAGTGTCTATTTTCACTTTTTTTGTTCTATTTGAAGAATAAGCTAACTCATTATATATCTAAGTCAAAAATAATTAACCAACATAACAACCACCAAAACAGTTTTACATAACTGAAAGTTAACTAAAAACGTGCGAGCTGTCGACCTATA